TATATAATAATTGGCTAAGCTTCCCTCAGCGTACATCAAAAAATTGTATAAGAATTAACATTTTGAAATATGGCTTGCAGCACTTCATTCTAATGAAGATATAAGTACAGAATGACAAACCTGAAGAAGGACTTGCAAACGGACAGTGTACTAGAACTCTGTCGTTTGTCTAAAACTAGTACTGTAGTAGTCTATATGTACTGCTAAGCTTTATATTGCATATTATAGTGTTATGGTTGTAATGTTGTTGATAATTGAATTCTAAAACATTGCAGATAAAAATCAACTTATATTGTTTATTTGTACACGGTGATTTACTGTTTTACCGGTTACATTACACCGTGGTCCTGTTTGTTGTAATATATCCATTTCAGCTTGAGCAAGAGAAAAAAGGGGAGGGAAGAGGGGCTGCTCTATACAATCCCTAGGCCTGCCTCTATAGTTGGCTTAAGTTCTCTGTACTGATAAGAAAAATGAAATCCTATAAATAGGATCAATTTGCATTTGTTCTTATTTGCGTTGTCTATCGTTCTGGCTTTGTTAGTCACGGGAAACAGAAAGAACTCTGCCGGTCACAGAAGCTCCCCCTGCCAGCCCTGTCCTATCAACTTTATATAGCTTCCTCTCTGGCTTTTGAGATATTATCCACACAAAAAGAAAAACAACCAAGAGCAGAGTCTTTAAGGCAGCTGAATTCTGACACATACACACCCGCCCATTCCACACTCTGCGCTTGTTCCATAACCCCCATGCCACACTCTTCGCACAGGTCTTCGTGGGATGATGCTAGCCAATGGTCATCTAGTCATACTGCAGATTTCCAAAATCAATGCTCACTATCAGCACTAACCCAAAAATAACCTTCACTCTCAAGCAGCTTGCGGAAGTCCTTTCTAGTCTAAGGACATTAGAATTAGGCCCCCAGCCTTTCAGACCAAACATGGCCAGTCGGTATTCAAAGTAAGCACATCTCAACTGGAGGTAGGATCACCAGATCACACAATGCAGCAAACTTACCTCTACCTCAGGATGTTCTGCCCCTTCCCTCTGGTGGTTCTTTCACCCAACCATGGAGGGGGGGGGGGGGACATCCATTTAACCCAACAGGAACTAAAGAAGGTGAGGAGAGAAAGGAGCTATTGGAGTTAAACTATATATCTCGAGCAATAATTAGACATTAACATTCCTAATTATCTCTGTGTCTACTTCCCCTTCTCAGCAAAGGCTTGTAGAAATCACTCCTGGGCCTGGAAGAGCTTTTCTGTCACAGGGTGGCTTTAGAAGCTGCCTTGTGCTCAGCCAGGTCATCTGTCCATCTAGCTCAGCTGCTGTCCACTCGGACTGGTAGGAGCTCTCCAGGGTCTCACAGAGAAAAGTCTCATCACTACCTGACATCCTTTACCTGGCAATGCTAGGGATTAAACCTGAGATTTTCTGCATTCAAAGAGTATGCTCTGTCGTGTTTAGGATTCGCCTTCAGCTGTTGAGATAAGAAACCTTAGATTACTGCTTTTATGGAGCACTGGGGGGGAAAATAAACTGAATTTGCTTTGTCATCGAAGAGACCTAACCCTCAAAAAACAAACATGAGATGCAGGAATATATGCATCACACTAATACCACCAACTGCTATGAGAAGACTCTGGGAACCAATACATTCTCATAAACAAGCCACCATTGAAGTGAATGGGGACTACAGAAGAGATTCCTAACTAGGCAGAAGACTATTATCCACAGGTTTCAGAGAGCCAATATAGTTCCTGTCTCCACATCTGTCCCAAAACAAAACACACAGCCATCCACATTTACCGGCATTGATGCGCATTATCCATGCAACCTAAGAAACAGCAGCAAGAAAAAAGAAAAAAAAGAAGGCACCAAGGACAGAAAAATACAGTTTAACCAGTAACAAAACCTTGCATAAAATTCAGATACCAATCACCCCCACCTCTTTCTCTCAGAGGTCACGGGTTAAGAAACAGCTCCTCCAGTCCCTAAAGCAGATTCACAACACTGGCCCCTTGACGGGGGTGGGGAGAGGTGGAGGTGAAAAAATCTTTCCAGTTTTCCCTTTTCTGGTTCAAGCACCTTCTATACACATTCACTATCATTTAAACTTGGTTTGCTGCACTGTTGGAGTAGCAACTGGCCACTCCAGCCATGGACAAGAGGCCCCAGATGCTGGCTGGAGCATTCTCTTGTGCAGTTCTCAGCCCGTTTTCTTCAACACGTGAATGAAGTAGCATGGCGTGTATTCCTGGCCTGGCTTGTAAGGTTTGAAGTCCCCCAGGACACTGTGTTCACACTGGCCTTGCAGCGCATTTTTCAGAAGTTCCGTGAAAGGCTCCAAGCGGTGAGGGTAGTATGAGAGACGGAACTGACTGGGGAAGAGACAGAAGAGACAGTTAATAACTTGGGGGAGGCAGAGCGTTAGCAGCTGGCTGCCTTACCCTTAAACCAAGAACCTGAAACTACTGTGTTCAAAAAATTCTGCAAAAGGGACAAATGATACAACATAGGACAACTGCACATCATATACATGCTTTATTTTGCATAGTACAGTGTTTTGGAGTGGGGTTCAGGGTGGCAGTTGCAAATGTGACAGATCAGGTGTGTGTAGGAACATTAAGATCCATGGAGTAGGGGAGGAGAAAAACTGAAGGATTGGAGGATTACAGTAATGGAAAGTTATTTACTTGAGTTCCTACGTAGATTCTGTACAGGTGCTGCCTCCAGCAGAATCTCTGCCAGATGTTATGCAATAGTGCCAGCTTCTCAGTATTCTGCCAGGACCACAACAGTTGCTGGATCCTTCCAATGAAGGTAATCAGCACTCCCCGATTTGCCTTGGCTGGAGCAGAATTCCAGGAGGGGAACCCTAAGTGTTTGGCAGGGACAGCACAGGGCCTACGGTAGCAAAGTTATCAGCAGGGCTTAGCAGTTAACAAGGTCCAGTAGCTGGAAGGTAACAAGAATGATGGATAACAAGTAAGAAACTTTGTGCCTAACCAAGCCCCTACAGATGACGGCGTCTTTGGGGGAATGTCTTTTCTCCTGCTCATTGCTTGCATCTCCTCCTCCTCCACTTGTCTTCTATTCCCTTCAGAACCTGGACCTTATACATACCCCTCTCCGTGTCCCACAGTCTCCAGCCCTGAAGCAACTAGGACTGCAACAGCCTGACTCTTCCCTTTCAGTGATCTCAGTGAGATGCCACAAGTGGCAACTTTTACCAACCTCCCACCTAACACAGGCCCCCTACTCTCCAGCTTCCATCTTTTGTCCTGGAGCTGCATGCCGATGTCAGGAGCTCGAACCTAACACTCATGGATCTGGGTCTAACTGCCACCACTAGGAGAGGCTCTTAATTATGATATTGATACCATTGTTAGACCATTCTAAATTTTGGACAGACTGTGCTATTAGGCCACAGTATTTTCCTGATTGTTCCCAGTCAGAAAAATGAGGCCTCCCTTCCCATATCCCCCCCATTCTTCCCAGTACTTTAAGATAAAACATGACTTGAGCAGCCAGCTAATGGGTAAGTTTTCTCCAGGAATTCCCTTTCAGACCAGATATCAGATTTTGCAAAGGGTTTTTGTTTTTGTTTTTTTGGGTGTGTGTGTGTGTGTGTGTGTGTGTGTGTATTTTTTTAATATGTGCATATGTGTGTGCACCTGGAAATCATGGCAACCTCTGGTGACTGATCCCTCCTGGGGGGCAGGAAGATATTCAGAGAGGTAGCTGAATAAAGCCTGCCCCTGCCTCCCGCCTCCCGCCTCTGGTATTTCAAGATGGTCTCCCACCCAAGTACTTGCCAGAGTCAACCGTGCTTAGCTTCTGAGATCTGGGCTATCCAGGGCAGGGTTGATTTTGCAAGTTTTGTTTACTAAGCACATATACTAACACCACAAATATTTGGGAAATATCCATTCACAGGTCGAAAAATGCAGAATGCTAGAAAATTAAAGGAGAACAGTTGCTAGCTAGATCTACTTGCAATGTATAAACCTCTGCGGCTCTCTTCCCTGAGAGAGAGAGAGAGAGAGATCCAGGCTTCTCCCAGCCCAGCATCCTGGTGAGGTAAGGACAGGACAGAGGTGAGAGAAGGTCTTGACAAACCTTGACCATCCCTTGCATCCATAGATACCCTGTTTTACATGTTTCTCTCTACTTGGGGAATTCTCTTCCAGGGCCAATCAGAAATCCAGGTACAAATTCAAATCACAGCAAGAGGACTTTTCCAAAGTAAAGGCTTGGTCATGCTCAACATTAAAATTAGAGCTGTGTGCTAACAAGTGTGTCATGGGTGTAGGGCAGGATACATATGGTATTAGGACAGGAAATACCCTTGTGGTCTCCCAATACCACTGGGGAGATCAGCGGCAGAGACAGAATGACCAGAAGATGATATCTGCACGTTGCAATTCTATTCCTTCCTGCACCAGTGTAAATTGCCATCTTCCTCCCAGGAAATGTAACTTAAGTGTTTTATCACCAGCTTCAAACAGGACAAGACTTTGTCATAAAATCATATGAATCCATCTGCGACAGCACCACTAGTAGATTTCGCAACGGTTTTGAACAAAAGATCTGTCAGCTTTCTTTGTCACCTCCTTTCAGTTTCAAAGAAGCCAAGCTTCTTGTTCTTGTGGTTTTGCTGCAAACTTCAACCCCTAGAATAGCCCGGTTTCGGTTTAGAGGCACTGTCTCAAAATACAACCCCAGTTACTCTCTCTTCGTATCAGTGGGATGGAAGGGGAATCTTGCAAGCTGGAGGGATGTTCTTCCCGCAAAATCTGTTTACACCAATGCCTTCTACCGATAGCATCTGCACACTGGTCCCAGGAACCTGCTGACTTTGTTGGGCTGGCTGGGCCCACGAATCTGTCACGGAATCAAAGTCTGTAGATACGAGTTTTGAATCAAACGTACCTCAGTTCTGGGCTCCCATCATTCCCTTCGGGAGGCACCTGCACGGTGTAGTCCAGGGTCACCATGCTTGGCTTGTTATTCACAAGGAGTACAGACGTGGTGATGTCCTTAGTTAAGTCACTCTGCAAGAGAGAAGAACTTCCACCTTTGGTTTCCTTCCCCCTTTGATGCTCCCCTGGCCTGGCCTTGCTTATTTGGAGCCCCATCTCTGGACCAATTGCACAACAATATGACTTCGACAACCTACCACCCTTCTCCCTGTACTGCTTGATAGATACAACTGCGACTTCACCCTTCCATTTTCTCCATGAATTTGTTCCCAGAACTGGACTTTCTGTAGAACCAGTGCTTATTCTGGGAATGGGGAGTTCTGTGTTGCCCCACTTCATCTTGCCATTGCCCCACCCCATTCCTCCTGGAGAAAAAAAACTGCTGATTCCATCCAGGCTTATGATCACCTTCCCTTCCCCTACCCACAACAGACACCTTGCGAGGCAGGTGGGACTGAGAGAGGTCTTTTGAGAACTGCTCCTGAGAGAACAGCTCTATAAGAACTTGTGGCTGGCCGAAGGTCTAGGGCTGCCAGGTCCCCCAGGAGGGTGGAGGTTCCCCTGCTCAAAGGGTCCCCTGGTCCAGAAAAGGCTTGCGGGGGGAACCCTACCCCCAACGTGCCCAGTTCGGGCCGACGTGCCCGGCGCAATGATGTCACCCGGAGGTGATGTCATCATGTTGGGCACGTCACTGGCTGATGCTCTAGCAATCAGCCTGGAAACTCTACGGTACCATAGAGTTTCCAGGCTGATTGCTAGAGTGTCAGCTGGCGACGTGCCCAACGTGATGACGTCACTTCCAGGTGACATCATCGTGGCGCACAAAGTGCAAAGCACATGCACAAATGTCCCAACCGGGGACTAACTCTCCCCCGCTTTTAAAGGTAAGTCACTTGGCAGCCCTACCAAGATCACACCACCAGCTGCATGTGGAGGAGTGGGGAATCAAACCCAGTTCTCCCAGATTAGAGTCCATGTGCCTAACCACTACACTAAATCAGGGTGAAAGGATGTTCTGGAACCCTGTGGACAACACTGCTATTGCTCTGGAGGAGAGGGAATAGCACTTCCCCTGCAACTCCCTCCCACAACCCGATGTGCTAAGTGCAAAAGGCAGGAGGGGGAATGTTCAGTAACAAAGAAGGTTTTGCAGCACAGAAGCGGTGGCCAGGATTGCCCAGTTATTGGCAATAGGGCCAACATCCCAGGTAGCTCCATGTTTACTGCCCTGTTTAGATAGTAACAGGGAGGGTGCTGCTGGGGATCAGTATTCACTCACCCCACAGACAACAGTGCTGCCCAAAGCAGCCAGGTGGAAGGGAAAGGGGCAGTACAGATTGGGGCTGCAGTGCAATCCCAAATTTTTTAAAAAAACACCCACAACCTCCCCCCACCTCATTTTGCCAATCTTCAAGCTCAGCAAGGGGGAAGACACGTATTATGCCTGCTTTTTCATGCTTCCAGGGCACATGAACACATGAAACTGCCTTATGCTGACTCAGACCCTAGGTCTATCAAAGTATTGTCTACTCAGACTGGCAATGGCTGTCCAGGCAGAGATCACAGGCAGAGGTCTTTCACATCACCTACAGCCAAATCTTTTAACTGGACACATCAGGGATTGAACCTGGGAGCTTCTGCATGCCAAGCAGATGCTCTACCACTGAGCCACAGCCCCTCCCAGGGCTTAAAGTAGCCTAGAGGAGAGTAAAAAGAGAGAAATATTTTCCCAGTCTGGCAGCGCCAATCTATATCCACACCTCTTCCCTTTCACAATCTAATTTTTTTGTGGTCAGTTACATCTAAGGGGATTCAAATATGGATTCCTTGTGTCCTGTGTGATTTGGCCTACAGTGAGATATGGACAGATATATTTGTATCCCACTCTTCTTCCAAGGACATTGGGGCTTTGTACATGGTTCTCCTCTATGAGGATTATACCATGTTTCAGCTATGGTAAAGGTAAAGGTTCCCTTGCTCGAATCCGACTCTAGGGTTGCAGTGCTCATCTCCGTTTCAAAGCCGAAGAGCCAGCGCTGTCCGAAGACGTTTCCGTGGTCATGTGGCCGGCATGACTAAACACCAAGGTGCACGGAATGCTGTTACCTTCCCACCGAAGTGGTACCTATTTATCTACTTGCAATTTCTTGCTTTCGAACTGCTAGGTTGGCAGGAGCTGGAACTAGAGATGGGAGCTCACTCCATCATGCGGCACCCGGGTCTCGAACTGCTGAACTACCGATCTTCCACAGCCTGCAGTGGAAGTAGCCGTCAAAGGAGGACAAAGCTCTGTCCTACACTGAGGGAGCTACTGAAAACCTTAAGTAAGGCCTACTTTTATAGAAATTTCTCTAGTATAATTGTACCCTGTCCTTCTCTGAAAGAGTTCAGAGTGGCATATATGGTTTCCCCTCCTCCACTGTGTCCTCTCAACAATCCTATGAGGTAAGTGAGACTGAAAGAGAGGGACTGGCTTGAGGTCACCCGGCAAGCTTCACGGCTACATGGGCATTTGAACCTGGCTTTCCCAGATCCTGCCCCGACACTGACACCACACTGGTTCGCTACCTTGTAGTAGATGTTCTTCCCTGGAGGGGCGCAGCCTGTTTCCAGGATGTAGTCGTAGTTACGGTGATCAATGACAAGGATGCCGCCAGGACGCACCATACTGGCAATATTTTTAAGAGCCTGTTTATGAGCACCTTGGTCACCTAGAAGAAGACACAGCACTGAACTAGACTCCTTCCCATTCCATGTAGGTTTCTCCTTCTAGCACAAGCCTGACAGACCTGCAGCTTCCCAGTTCTTTGATGGGAACAGAATACACAAGAAGAGCTTAATTCTGGGTTTTCACAGCCTTTGGCAAGGGGTTAGAATAGGCTCTAATCATCCAGAAACAATTTGTAGGTAATCCCTCTAGAAGAGAAAGGCACCGTAGAACATGTAGCCTATGCCATATGCTTGACACATATCCTAGGCCAGTGCATAACATAAGTGGGATGGAAAACTGGGCCTGAAGGTCAACAGAAGACTCCATGACAGTACGTAGCTTCCAAATCTAAGGTATGCATTTCATTTTTAATAGGATTTGAGAGGCACAATGAGGGAAGTTGGACTATCAGAAAAGACTAGGTTCCAGCAGTTACAACACATGTTTGTATGGTAGGGATGCCAGACCACCCCCCATCGGGGTGGGGGTCTCCCACTGCCAGGTCCCACCTCTCTACTGCTGGCCAACTGGCCAGTGGGGGCATTACCTCTCAAAAACGGAGGAACATCTGGCATTTCAGCAACGTACCTACATGACTCGGAAGCGACGTAGGCACGTCAGGGATGATGTTCTGGTTTGGGGGCAAAAACTCTATGGTAGAAGTTAATTCTACCATAGAGTTTTGCTCAAATAACCACAGTGTCGCTCCCCCAACATGCCTACATCACTTCTGGGTCACATAGGCACATCACTGAAATGCTAGGTGTTCCTCCCTACTCCTGGAAAATGCACCCCTGATCCCCCATCAGTTCCTCGGAGGGACCTGGCAACCCTTCTCAAAAATTTAGCTCTAAGGCCACAGCATCCTTACCATCTCCAGTGAAATAAAGTCTAGGTGCATGTAGCAGCATTTGCTCATGTTCTCTCTCTTCCATAGTATCAAATCATAGCTGGTATGCACCTTCAGACAACAACCTAGAAAGGGGGGGTAATCTTGGGAATGTGTCTGCCAGTTGTATAAGTTCTGGGTTGAGCTTCTATAGCTCTTCCTGTTACATATATTTAGATCTGGGTGTAGCCAGAGGTGTGGCTTGCAGCCAATAACCCTTACTGAGCTGGCCCAATGGATCCAGGACCAGCCCAGGAATTGTATTGTATACATTGTTGTATTTTTCTACCTTTTGTTGTTGCTTGTTTGTTCAAGTTATATTTTTTGGGTCTCTTCATAAGCTGCTCTGAGTCCTCAGTGGGGTGAAAAGTAGTACAGAAATGTTTAAATAAACAAACGTATCTTTGCTTGCTAGCATTATTCTGCAATAATGTACCACATATATTACAATTACCATGCTAGAGGTGTGCAAGGGGGGAAATTCATTTTTTTCAGATTCGGTTATAAAAGAACCAAATTTATTCAGCCTTCCTGAATATTCCCAAATACCAGTATCGGCATTGTATTCAGATTCAGGAAATATTTGGTGATACCGAATATATTCGGCTCCACTATAACCTATGGGGCAATTATACTCAATGGCAAATCTAGGCAGGGGTGGCCAAACTTCCTTAACGTAACAGCTGCATAGAATAAATGTCAGATGTTTGAGAGCCGCAAGACATGAACAGATATCACACACACACTTTTATTGAAAAATATGCAAATTTGCTTTTTATTAACATTAAATTAGACTGTGTGAAAGAGCCACATATGGCTCATGAGCTGCAGTTTGGCAACCCCATCCTAGGGTATATGCAGTGGGCTGGGGGGAAAGTGGTTTGAGGTAGAGGCACCAGATTTGCAACGTAGCTGCTGAAGCTTCTCCCCCAAAGAATCCCTAAGTTTCAAAAAGACTGGACCAGGGGGTCCAATTCTATGCCCACCCAAAGAGGGTTCCCCCATTCATTGTTTCCAATGGTGGTGGTGGGGAATAGCAAGGCAAAACAAGCACAGCAGAATGTCCCAATAAATCTCTGCAGTACAAAGTGAAGTGTGTGGGGAGGCATGTTTGCAAGCCTAGGAGCAGAACCAGTGCCACTGTGGCAGTACCAAAACTGAACAGGATTAAAGTCAGATCTGAGAACCTCTGAAGGACAGCAAGGACAGCAGAACCAGTGCGATGTTCTAGTGCCCAGCAGCAGAATCCAATGCCATTGTGGCAAATGCCAAACCAGCTCAACAGGACTGATTTCAAACACACAATCCAGGCAAGGGGGAGGGAGGTTGCAGGACAGCAGAATCAGTGCAGTAGTGGCTGCCCAGCAGCAGACCTCAGTGCCAACTTACTAGTGCCCAGCAGCAGAACTCAGTGCCAACTTACTAGTGCCCAGCAGCAGAACCCAGTGCTATAGTGGCAAATGGCAGTTCAGCATTACTGGACTTCTGTGTATTAGGCTGGCCTTGGTTCAGGTGGGCTAGCAAAAGTGCCTGCCCACCCTGCATTTTTGAGTGTTCTGCTGGGCTTCTACTGCCTTGCTTCTGCCAAAAAAAATGTTTTTAAACCTTGGCTGTGACATTGGTTAGTTTGGTTGCTGCCGCATTGGCACTGGGTTCTGCTGTTTGGCACTAGTAAGCTGCACTGGGTTCTGCTGCTGGACAATAGTAGGTGGGTTCTGCTGCTGGGCACTAGTACATTGCACAGGTTCTGCTGTCCTTGCAGAAATCCCCCCCCTCGGTTTCTACTTCAGAGATTCTCAGATTTGACCTTAGTCCTTTTGGGTTTTGGCACTGCCACAGTGGCACTGGTTCTGATGCTGGCCTTGCAAACATGCCCCCCCCCACACACTTCACCTTCTACTGCAGAGATTCTGTGGGACATTCTGCTGGGCTTGTACTGCCTTGCTATTTTCCCCTCACTGGAAACAATGGCGAACAGGGGCACCCTCTTTGGGTGCCCATAGAATTGGACCCCCTGGTCCACTCTTTTTGAAACTTGGGGATCCTTTTGAAGAGAAACTCCAGCAGCTATACTGCAAATGTGATGTCTCTATCTCAAACACCCTCTTCCCCAGACCACTGCATATACCCTAAGAGATTTGCCATTGACTATAATGGCCCCATAGGATATAGTGGAGCTGAATAATCTCTCCTATATTATAATCTGTTCTGTTCTAATCTGTTGTCTGGACCTGGTGATCTTCAGGCTCCACCTGGAGGTTGGCTGCAGGGTCTGCTAGATCCAGGTTCTTGCTGTAGAAGCTGAGTGGGTGACTTTGGACCAGTCACAGACTTTCAGCCTAAACTACCTCACAGGGTTGTTGTGCAAGTCAAAAGGGGAAGAGGAGAATGATGTAAGCTGCTTTGGTCCCCATTGCAGAGAAAGACTACTTTTCCTCCTGGTGAACCATTGTTGCCAATCCCCAGGTGAGGGCTGGAAATCACTCAGAATTACAACTGCTCTCCAGATGGCAGAGATCAATTCCCCCAGAGAAAATGGTGGACTCTCTGGCAGTCAGGGCTTCAGAGCACGGAAGAGGCTGCAGGTGTGTGTGTGGGGGAATGGAAAGCTGAAGAGAGAGGGGGAAATAAAGGTAGGTTGATGATTGGCTGGGAAGGAGATAGGGTTGCCAACTCCAGGTGGGAAATTCCTGGATATTTGAGGGATGGGACATGGAGAGGGTGAGGTTTGGGACCTCAGACAGGTACAACGCCATAGACTCCACCCACCCAACCAGCCATTCCCTTCTGGGGAACCACTGTTGCCAATCTCAGGAGAGAGGTGGAAATCACTCAGAATTACAACTGATCTCCAGGAGGGAGGGGGGAGGAGATGCAAAGCTGAAATCAGGGGGGCAGATAATGGCAGGTTGATGCTTGGCTGGAAAGGAGATAGGGTTGCCAACTCCAGGTAGGGAAATTCATGCAGATTTGAGGGGTGGAGCCTGGAAAGGGTGAGGTTTGAGGGGTGGGACCTCAGACAGGTACAATGTCATAGACTCTACCCTCCAAACCAGCCATTCCTGGGTAACAATTGTTGCCAATCTCCAGGTAAGGGCTGGAAATCACTGAAAATTACAACTGCTCTTCAGGTAGCAGAGATCAGTTCCTCTGGAGAAAATGGTGGACTCTGTGTCATTTTACCCTGCTGAGGTCGCCACAACACATTGACGCTAAGTGCCCAAGGCCTTGGCACTCTCCCAGAGCCTCTTTCTAGAGTTCGTTGTATTTATTTCCACAACAAACCTTATTCCTAGTAGCTGAATGAATGCCGAATAGTATTCAGGAATCTCTGTTCAGCCATAGAATAGATGCTCTGATTTGGTATTTGGTTTAATAAATACCCCCAAAATGCTGAAAAGGCATTATTCGGGTATTTATTCAGCTCAGTAAATACCGAATGCACACCCCTATCCCATGCTAGATAAGTCATATATCATCTTCTGTTCAACTAGATTTACAACAGTTGGAGCCAACTTGCTTGTATTTGATATGCATTATCCTCTTCTTTTTTAGATCTGCAGAAAATCACCTGGCCATTCTCCCCTATTAGATGTTTCCTGACTGGAACTACTGAAAGACTCCCAAGGAGCCTGAACAAAGTTTCTGATGAGAAGCAGCATGTGCCCAATGGCCTACACACAATTCTCTGTATAGCAGCTAGGTCACAGTGTTGATAAGTTGAAGTAAACATACGATTGTCAACACAGTCCTAAGCAGAGCTACACCGTTTTAAGTCCATTAACTTCAGTGGACTTGGATGCTTAGGATCATCCTGTGTGACACTCACCTTTAAAGTCCGGGAGATGTGCAAAGGAATTCCCGAGGCAGATGACAGCATCAAAACCATCACCAGGCTTCTGCACATCCTGTGCCAGGGTGAGCCAGTTGGCCTCTTCAATGACTGCAAAGCAAAAGGAGAGATTACACTTGGGCGGAGGAAGTCATTTCAACCTCCTCACATTTCCAGTGGCATCTGGAAGAGAAAGCTTCTGGCTCCCTGTTCATACTGAAAATGGCTAAACTTTCAGTGAAAGATGCCACCATGTTGTGAAGGGGAAAACACACTAGGCTGAGTAACATAAGCAGCTGTGAAGAGGGAAGGATAAAAATTAAAGAGGCAGTTATAAGGGAGGAGTGGACCCTTTATTGAATGGGACTGATGGATGATGAATGCCATCTTACGTGCCATGTGGAACTACTATTTTAAACTCCACTTGCAGCTGATTAGGGAAAAAGAACAGCTGAGCACAGCAGAAGTGACCCAGTGTGCAAGCAACCTTTTTAGTAACTTACTTTATTCTTTTTACATATGCTGTACTGTGGGATTTCTTGGGGTCACAATCACTGACCTCTGCTGGGCATAATCTTTTTATAAAAGTACAAGCTACATCTGATTTTTCTCAAGGCTGTTTTCTCATAAAACAGCAGCATAAAGATGTGGTTATAGGGAGCTGCGGTGGCTCAAGTGGTTAAGACACTGAACTGCAGGCTGTGGAAGGTCAGTAGTTCAGCAGTTCGAGACCCGGGTGCCGCATGATGGAGTGAGCTCCCATCTCTAGTTCCAGCTCCTGCCAACCTAGCAGTTCGAAAGCAAGAAATTGCAAGTAGATAAATAGGGACCACTTTGGTGGGAAGGTAACAGCGTTCCGTGCGCCTCGGTGTTTAGTCATGCCGGCCACATGACCACGGAAACGTCTTCGGACAGCGCTGGCTCTTCGGCTTTGAAACGGAGATGAGCACCGCAACCCTAGAGTCGGATTCGACTGGCTTTTGAGCAAGGGAACCTTTACCTTTTTATAGGGCATCTACAAGCAGGTAGAGGATCTGTTGAAGCCTTTTATGACCAATAGATGAAGCCATGGAAAGAGGCAGGCATTCCAGATTCAAAGCTCCATGACAGTGTCAGAAAGTTATGGAACCCTGGAAATCACTCACAGGATTGCTTGTAGTCTTTAATCCACATGCAGTATGCTTCAGACAATGCGGGCAATGCCATTGTCTGCGGGACTCTCTGTTGTCTGTCAGATTTTTATCTCACCCTTCTTCCAAAGAGCTCAGGGCAGCATACATCACTCTCCCTTCCCCCATTTTATCCTCATAACAATCCTGTGAGGTAGCCTAAGTTGAGAGAGTGTGGCTGACCCAAAGTCACCCGAGATTCATGGTCATGTGTGGATTCCAATTTATAGTGTGAAACTCTACCCACCCCACCACACTGGCTCTCAAAGCAGTATGCCAGTGCACAGGAGGAGGGGCTTTGTTGTTCTGCATAGCTCACTGCCTCTCCCAATGAATGCAAGAAGCAGAAGAATAAATTATGCAAGCTAAGGAAATCTATGAACATGGATTCAATTTGCATAATTTATTCACATGGTGACTTTCTTGGTTCTATTTTTAAACCTTTTTAAAGTGCAAGCACAGCCCTAACCACCAAGACAACAGCCTGCAGTAAGCCCTGCCCACAAACATCTTAGTGAATAAATCAACCCACCATGACTATCAGTTAACTTCCCCACAGCCCTTACTTGTCCATTCCTTTTTTTGAATCAAGTAATATTTATTTAGTTTATTGGCCACTGGTCCACTATGCTCAGAGCTGTCTACTCTGACATGCAGTGGCTGCCCAGGAACTTGGTCAAGGAAAGACTTTTCCTGGTCCTGAAACCTCTAACTGGTAATACCAGGGACTGAACCTGAGAACTCCACCAGGGAGCCACAGCCCCTCTCAGCCAGAAAGTCGTACTCACACCCTCATGGGCACAAACAGAGATCCTAGCAGTCTTTATTTCATTGCTCAGATTTCAGGAGACGGAGATATTTTGCAACACAGTCTATCCTTATACAGTCACACGCCCATAAATACATACCATAAAGTCAAGAATGGGGACAGTTCCATCTCAGGGCTTGTAAAGAGGGTTCTCCCCATTGTCTTTTCAGGTCAACATCCAAGGAATTCTCCCCCCATCAACTCCATATTGATTTCGGTGCACATATAGAATGTGTGTCAGCAGGCAGTTCATTATGCCAGCTGCATTCCCCCAATTGCTTAAACAGCACTTGATCATATTTCACCACACACTCCCCTCTGCATAAACCCATTTGAACACAGATTAGCAGTGATGCTCAAAACCCAATGCTTCAATTGCTCAGTGTGAGAGTAATCAGGGCCTGTTACAGTCCACTGTGGCCTATGTCAGGAATTATAAACTAAGTGATCAGCATGCTCAAGTACGTAGCAAGGAGGTCAGAGAGAGTTAACTCTCTTTTCTGTTGTACAGGTCAGCTAACCTCTACACTGAAGAAAGATGTGTTTGATAAAGAATACTAAAGAACTGAACTGATTGCTTTGTCCAGTGACAATTCTAACCACTGAAGACCAGACTGAGAGTTGTTAACTTTTGGGCTATTTTTATTCTGCTGTGTTATATCTTGATTTTTTTTAAAGTAAATTATAAAGACTTCTATGCATGACTTATATCTTTTGTTATTAAACTCTGAGTTATCTCACACTTCCTGCATAGATCTATAACAAGCACTTCTACAGAGATTTAAGCAAATGCAAGTATCTTGAAACTTAACCAGTTAAAATGCAGGCTTTTAACCAGTCCACTAAAGATTCTGCATTCAGTTGATGGTCTTAACCCAAACAAAGATTACCATACCCCAGTTGTCAAAAGGTTCCTCTTTCCGACGATTCCATCGCTCCTTCAGAGCGTATTTGAGCATCTTGTCACTGGCATCCACGCTGGTAACAGTGAACCCTTCCTCAACCAGCATGATGGAGTCCACTCTACAGAAGAGAAAGGAAGATGTTCATGCCATCCGGGGAAATGAGGCCTCCATTCAGAACATGTCCCTGTATTGCTGTCCACCAAAAAAGGGACATGGGCAGATGGAAGATAAATCACCCCATGAAAAAAGCGCAATGCATAGTATTTGTATCAGGTGAGTGTGTAACCCCTAGCTGGTAATGGAATGAGCCAGGAAGAGGTGAAGCCTCTAGATGCAGAAGGGTGCAGACTGTGTGGAAAGCAAAGGAGGGAAGCAAGACTGACCTGGTGGGGAGCTTGAACCATAAGCAGTTTCTTAACACCTTGTTTAAGGTAACTATGATTTATGGATGGAAACTGGTAAGGGAGGGAGACTTGCAATTTTAGAATTATTGTTTCAGAGCTGTGTTATCTAATTAGGAGTCCCTTTGGGACCCTCAGTCTTAGAAGACAGTGCATGGAAGGTTCAGCTGGAGACTTCTTGGGCCACCAACAAGAGGAAAGAGATGGACTTTGGGGGTGGCAAGCTGTGAAGGAGAGAAACGTTAAATTAGTTGTAAATTTTCCAGGCTGTATGGCCATAGTCTTGGCATCTTAATAACACAACAGAACAGTGCTATTTTAAAGTCCAAACAATTAACTTTTCCCTCCCTTTTTGTTACACGATATGATGTTAAGTGAAAAATAAAAAAGTTTTATTCACATTTATTTATTGCAAGCAGGGGTCATTTTGGGGGGGGGACGCGGGGGGACGCCATCCCCCCGGGTGAGGTGCGGGAGGGCGGGGCCTGGAGCTCCCTGCTGGTGCCCGCTGGAGGTCGCCGCTGGCTGTGGGGAGGACACACTTCCGGTGATGTCAGGGGGTGTGGCATATGCTAATGAGTTATGCTAATGAGTCCCCCTAGCTCTTTTTCTACGAAATGACCCCTGATTGCAAGATTCATTCCATGTTTTGCCCCATGGAAGCCAGAAACTGAGGTTACAAGGGCACAACATACCCTTGTATTTCAGTTCAACTATTTTTTTTTATTTTTTAATTTATTATTACATTTCTACCCCGCCCTCCCCGTGAGTGGGCTTAGGGTGGCTTACAATAGGGCACCATGTGCCAAAGCATAAAACAGGATAAAACAATCAACATTAAAGTGCTCAATAGTTACAATCAAAATTTAACAAGATGGAATCAAATTTGCAAGATGGACTCCCCAGTATCTTCCATAGCAATAGGGAGATTAAAAACCCATAGATGTTACTCGACCCCATCCAGCGGTACTGATCACAGCGAAGTCATGGTTGATCTTCTTGGGGCCACCCCTCAGGTCTACCAATAGTGGTAGTGGCAGCTCCAGGGAAAGCATTTTTGAGGGAGACAGTGCAGTGTAGTGGTTATAGCATTGGATTAGGCTCTGGGAGGCATAGAATTCAGATCCCCATTCTGCCATGGAAGCTCACCGGGTGTCCTTGGTTTCAGTCAGAGTCTCTCTTTCTCTCTCTGCCTAACCTACCTCACAGGGTTGTTGTGAGGATAAAATGAAGGAAGGGAAAACAATGTACATCACCCTGAGCAATGAGGATGCTTTGTTCACAGAAATAAAGTGATGCTCCCACCAAGTCTTGGCTCTGTATGAAAGAGCAGCAAGGTGGCTTCATTTTCTCCTTCACATTCAGACACAGTGGAAGAAAGTGGGGAACACGATGTGGAATAACAGTGTAGACTCTGCTGTCTACATACCCTCTGGTTGGGCATCCACTAGGGCGGAAATGGTTGGCCAATTAATCAACTGACATTTTTGATGTACTAACCACCCCCACCCCAAAAAAAACCCTCTGACTAACTGGGCAGCAGACTTTTAAAAATGAATTCTTCTTTAGATAGAAATACAAGAACATGGATGGCAAGTATTATAATAGAAGTAACTTTCCCCTTTCTAGCACACACAGGTAGAAATACCTCTTCTGGAATGCAAAACAAGAGTCCAGTACCACCTTCTTCTACAACTTCTTCTACCACAAGTCTTCATGAGGCAGAGTTCGCTTCATGAGGTGCAAGTGAATCAGATGCTTAAAAGGTGTGCTCTGACTCACACAAATTTAAGATGGAATAAATTCTGTTAGTCTTTAAAGGTGCCACTGAACTCACACTAGCTCACTAGCCCAGCTGTGAAGTACAGCCCCCCCCCCATCATTAATTAACATAAAATCTATGCAGATTTCATCCACTAATTTATTGATATCGATCAGTGAAAACTCCTGCCTGATAACTCTAGTAAGTGTCTCTCAGAGGCTGGGAGGCTTCTGTGCTTGAAGACAGAAGTAGAACTGCAGGGGTGGTTGACTACACAGAAGATGGACCACGGAAGGAACAGAGCCACCAAAAGAAGAACGTGAAAGAAGTGGAGAAACTGCTTTACTGCCCACGGGACGAGGAATAGCTACAGAAGCGATGGTGGATTTTCTCCATCCCCCCTTCAGTGGCACAGGCGTCCTCCCTGCCAGTGGAAGAAACCGCCCCTCCCCCTCCATCCTCCCCAGACTTTTATTATCCATCAGGAGAATAATAAAAGGGTCGGCTCCCCTCCCTCTTATTTCAACGCATATCGGAGGGGCTGAAGAAGGGGACCGCGACCCGCACTAGCAGCTTTTGGGGAGTGCGGATCCAGAAGGAGCAAAGCGGTGGAGGCAGAATACAAGAAAGACGCTTTCCGCCAGCCGGCCTCGCCTCGCCCACCACCCCCTATAGGGTGAGCCACGCTGGAGAGCTCCGTGACAAACACGCGCCAGGCCTCGGCAGGGCAGGTGCCTCCCTCCCTGCCTGCAATGCTGCTGACTCACCCGGTCCCGCAGGCCACGTCGAGCACCGTCTGGCAGCGCTGGCCCCGCAGTAGCCCCGCCAGCCAGCTCTTGTACTCGGCCGTGCGGCTCCGCGTGTCGCCGATGTAGAGCTGCCAGACCCGCGCCGCTTTTCCGTCCGCGTACTGGTCCGGCAGCCCCTCGGCCGCCACGCCCAGCGAGCGGGTCCGGTAGATGCTGTCCACCATGCCGCCGGCGACACCACGGAGACCGCTGCGGAGCGCCGCCTGCCTGCCTGCCTGCCTGCCTGGGCTCGCCGCTGCTCTTTGCCCGAGCAGCGAATTCTGATCAACAAGCAGCCGGTAGAGGACGGAGCACGGGCCGACGAGGGACCGCCCCCTCCGCCCCGCCGGCCAATGAGGAGCACGGTTGGCGACACACCCTCCTCCCTGCCGGTTCCGCCTCCCTCAGAAGCTGACGCCCGCTGGGTCATACACAGGCTCCGATTCGTGAAGGTGGTCCGACGGAAATGAGGGCTACGGGGAGGGGGTGGTGGTCCTCTTTTGGGCTCTTAAAATATATATATAAGATAAAACCTCTTTTTGGGTTGGAGGGTCAGAAATATTCATAATTAGGAGCAATGATCACAGCTTAACTAGTTGTTGTTCAGTCGCACAGTTGAGTCCGACTCTTCGCAACCCCATGGATCAAATCACAGCAGGCCTTCCTGTCCTCCGCCGTCCTCCGGACTTTGCTTAATTCCATGTTCGTTGCATAACACTGTCTAACCATCTCATCCTTTGCTGTCCCCTTCTTCTGTTACCTTCAATCATGCCTGCAGTGGGGCATTGGGGGGCTAGCCCTCCCCCCACTTACTGGCAAGGCCCCACAGCTTCCCATCCAGCCCAGGGCCCCTGAGCAGTGGTGAGTGTGGGGGAAGGAGCTGAGTATTCCTGGGCAGCTGCCTGGTGCGAAGGGCCAGCTATGGTGGCAGTGCACAGCCAGACAGCACCTCTCTATTTCTCCCATATAAAGTCTATTTAACTTTAATTAAATTATCTCATATGATTAGCCACTGCCCCCTAAGAAATTTAAATGCCCCCCCACCTTTTATGTACTCTCTATGTAGAGAAAATGCGAAGAGAATGTCCCTACCCCACTCCCAGAAGCTTACGATTTAAATTTCAAAAGCAGCAAACGGATGTAATGGGAAGAAAGAAGGAGGGGGATGTACAGCTGGGTAATGGTACTATGTATTAGACAGCAGCTGGTGTGGTGCAGTATTTAGAATTCCAGCCCATAGCTAAAGGGAGACATTTGGAGCCCTGCTCCCTTAATTTAAAGCCCCACCCCTCAAATGGCCATGTTGTTCAGTCGCACAGTCGTGTCCGACTCTTCGCGACCCCATGGACCATCTCCCGCCAGGCCCTCCTGTCTTCCGCAGTCCTCCGAAGTTGGCTCAATTTCATGTTCGTTGCATCTATGACACTGTCTAACCATCTCATCCTTTGCCGTCCCCGTCTTCTTTGACCTTCAATCTTTCCCAGCATCAGGGTCTTCTCCAGTGAGTGCTCCCTTCTCATTTGGTGGCCAAAGTATTTGAGCTTCAGTTTCGTTATCTGGCCTTCCAGGGAACAGTCAGGGTTGATTTCTTTGAGGATTGACTGATTTGTTCTTCTTGCAGTCCAAGGGACTCTCAAGAGTCTTCTCCAGCACCATAGTTCAAAAGAATCTATTCTTCGGCGCTCGGCCTTCCTTATCGTCCAACTCTCGCAGCCATACATGACTACTGGGAATACCATTGCTTTGACCATGCGGACTTTTGTTGGCAGGGTGATGTCTCTACTTTTTATCATGCTGTTTAGGCTCGCCATCGCTTTCCTCCCAAGGAGCAGGCGTCTTTTAATTTCATGGTTGCACTCACAGTCTGCGGTGATCTGGGATCCCAGGAACGTGAAGTCTGTCACTACTTCCACGACTTCCCCTTCTATTTGCCAAGAGATAAAACCTCTTTTTGGGTTGGAGGGTCAGAAATATTCATAATTAGGAGCAATGATCACAGCTTAACTAGTTGGAGGGTCAGAAATATTCATAATTAGGAGCAATGATCACAGCTTAACTAGTTGGAGGGTCAGAAATATTCATAATTAGGAGCAATGATCACAGCTTAACTAGTTGGAGGGTCAGAAATATTCATAATTAGGAGCAATGATCACAGCTTAACTAGTTGTTGTTCAGTCGCACAGTTGAGTCCGACTCTTCGCAACCCCATGGATCAAATCACAGCAGGCCTTCCTGTCCTCCGCCGTCCTCCGGACTTTGCTTAATTCCATGTTCGTTGCATAACACTGTCTAACCATCTCATCCTTTGCTGTCCCCTTCTTCTGTTACCTTCAATCATGCCTGCAGTGGGGCATTGGGGGGCTAGCCCTCCCCCCACTTACTGGCAAGGCCCCACAGCTTCCCATCCAGCCCAGGGCCCCTGAGCAGTGGTGAGTGTGGGGGAAGGAGCTGAGTATTCCTGGGCAGCTGCCTGGTGCAAAGGGCCAGCTATGGTGGCAGTGCAGAGCCAGACAGCACCTCTTTATTTCTCCGATATAAAGTCTATTTAACTTTAATTAAATTATCTCTCATATGATTAACCACTGCCCCCTAAGAAATTTAAATGCCCCCCACCTTTTATGTACTCTTTATGTAGAGAAAATGCAAAGAGAATGTCCCTATCCCACTCCCAGAAGCTTACAATTTAAATTTCAAAAGCAGCAAAGGGATGTAATGGGAAGAAAGAAGGAGGGGGATGTACACCTGGGTAATGATACTATGTATTAGACAGCAGCTGGTGTGGTGGAGTATTTAGAATTCCAGCCCATAGCTACAGTGGGACATTTGGAGCCCTGCTACCTTAATTAAAAGCCCCACCCCTCAAATAGCAATGCCAAAAACCTTATTTTTGAGGAGAGACCCCCCCACACTGCCTGCTGCTGATGGCAGTGGGCTTCCCTCTCTCACTGTGGAATTGGGGGGGGGGGCAAGTGTGGAATTGGGGGGGGCAATCATGGGACATGGGAAAAGACAGCTCCAAGGGCATTTAAATGCCTTTTGAGGTCCCTTCCACAGAGCAAGAAATGTACCTTCAATACATCTTCAACAATCCCCCTTTCTGCCAGCCCAGTCCTGCTGTATAAGAGGTGCTGAAAGTATCGCTCTTGAGTGCCCTTCTAAGCTTTCTTGCCCCATCAAAGTGAACTCAAAAGGCCTTCTGAAGGCAATTAAATGTCCTCTGAGCTGTTTTTTTCCTGGAAACTGACATGCTCACTGCCCTGTCCCTTGAAAGGAAGGGCTAGAAACAGGTTCAATGCCTCCCCCTTTAAATACAGCCATTCAGATTAATTTAATTTTAATTTAACTACCCCCTTAAAAATTTAAATACCCCCCAAACAAAAATATCCTGACTAAGGGCCTGTCGAACCCCCACTCGGTCATGAATATCACTGGGTTGCTTTGGAGTCAGTCTTTCCCTCAGCCTAATCTACTTCACAGGATCGTTGTAAGGATAAAATGCAGAAGGAGGAACCATAAGTGCTGCCCTGGGCTCCTTGTAGGAAAGATGACATATAGATGCCTTATAAGCAAATATGCCTACAAAAACCTTACACTGCAGCCAGTCTACAGCTTTGTCACTCGGCAGTCATAAAGAAGCCACAGGATGCATTCTTAAAAACAACAAAAGAGTTCAGTTCACACAGAGATCAGAAGCAGAAAATGGCCTTAAGGTGGTAACTACTTATTGAATTAGTAGGCCCTTCCCCCCCATTTATCTTTCTGTATGCACCGTAATGTAATACTTTGCAGATCAGTATGCAACCCCCCCTGACCTTTCATTTGGGTGTTTGGCCCACTTTGTTTGCCTTTTCTTTTCCTTCTCTGTACCAGACAGTTTTTCTTTCTGTTTCTTTTCAGCATCTTGGGTTTTAGCTCCACTATTAAACTGGAATATAAAAAACCCTTTTTTAATTAAAAAAATCAAAGTCCAGGGAGTAGTCTTAAATTATGGGAACACAGATGTAGATTAAACTTTATGAGATTAATGCAGCATGCTGAGCCATGAAATAAAGTGTGGGTGTACAAACTCTTTCTCCTGGAGTTCTTTGAAAAACAAACAAGGAAGAATGGGGGGGGGGGTGGCCAAAGAAGGTCAGGAGCACATAGGGGTTAATCATACACCCTCCCACATATGTTTATCCTACCCTGCCTCTAGGGAGCGCAGATTATTTGATCTTCCCCTCTACTTTAACCTCACAACAAGCTTGAGAGGTAGGTTAATCTGAGGTTGGTCCTGGCCCCACTGGGGGACCTCCTGATGGCACCTGGTATTTTTGGCCACTGTGTGACAGAGTGTTGGACTGGATGGCCCATTGGCCTGATTTAACATTGGCTTCTCTTATGTTCTTATGAGGGACAGAGACTGGTCCAAAGGGGATTTGAACCCAGCTCTTTCCTTTTGTATTCTGATATGCCAACGCCTACATCACAGAGGCATTCAGTGAGCTGCCTTCCACTGCTAAGGCTGGAGCTCAGTTGGTGCTTTCCCCAGGGAATTCCAGTAGCAAAGCTTGTGCATCTGCATGGGAAGGTAACTCAGCAAATGGGGTAGTAAATCATGTCAAGGAGGCTTTATCACAGCCACCCATAATGATGCTCTTGGTGTATTTGAGTTGGCACAGCCCCAGTGCAGAGCTTTAAAGCTACTGAATCAACACACATTTAGTTGCAAAACCCTTTCCTAGCAAGTACTTTAACGGTGCATACTTAAAATTACTTCACGCACCAGAGTTACCCCTTAACTTGCTTTGGTCCCACGGAGTGTGCATGTGCTGCATCCTGCACCCAGAGCTGATCACTGTCCAGCTTCTCTTTCCTTTGTACAGCAGGCCCTGTATGAGATTAACTTCCTCTGCCGGAGGGATCAACCTTTGTGCTTTTGGCATCTCTGGTTTAGTTTAATATTTGAATGAAACAGGGTTAAATTGCATCAAGGGCTAGATGTGGCATGAGGTGGGGAAAGAGAAGACAAACAACCAACCCCTTTGGGAAAAAAATCAAAGGTTTATTGAACAAAAGGAAAAGTACTGAGACAATTGTGAAACCCAACAGCCATAAATCAGCACCAGCATCACTCTTAGCCAGGGGTCATTTCCTGCGGGAGCGCATAGGAGCGGAGCTCCGGCAGTAAAGAGCCCAGGGGGCGGGCACATGCAACAAGTCCCCCCCCTGCTCCCAGCAACCCCAGGCTACAAGGAGCAAGAAGCAACCAGGTAAGTTGCAGAGCCCCCCCCCCGCT